GTGTCACAGGGAAAGAACTGCCATTCAGGTAAGGGACAATCAGCCAACCTGTGCTGGTTAAAAATGCCGACTTCTATATCTCTCCTCCTTTAGCTTCTCTTCTTTCTTCTGGTGGCAGGGACTCTCTTCATTGATATGAGCTGCTTGAAGAGACAATAATTATCTGAAAAATAGATTAAAACTACTGTCAATAAATCATAGCTAAATAAGGCACCATTAACCCACCAAGCCCCTCCATGGATCGCTGCCTTGCGGTGGCAAAGGGGCTTGAATAACTCAGAGAAGCTATGAGCTATGCCGTGCAGGGCCACCCAAGACGGACAGGTCATAGTGGAGAGTTTTGACCAAACGTGATCCACCTGGAGCAGGAACCGGCAAGCCACTCCAGTATCCCTGCCAAGAAAACTCCATGGACAAAGACAACAGGCATATAAAAGTTATGATGCTGGAAGATGAGCCCCTCAGGTCGGAAGGCGTCCAACATGCTACTGAGGAAGAGCGGAGGACAAGTACAAGTAGATTCAGAGCTGATGAAGTGGCTGGGCCAAAGCCGAAAGGTCGCTCAATTGCAGATATGCCTGGAAGCGAAAGGAAAGTCCAATGTTGTAAAGAAAAATATTGCATAGGAACCTGGAATGTAAGAACCATGAACCTTGATAAGTTGGATGTGGTAAAAAATGAGATGGCAAGAAGAAATATTGACATCCTGGGCATCAGTGAACTAAAATGGATGGGAATGGGCGAATTCAGTTTAGATGACCATCATATCTACTACTGTGGGCAAGAATCCCGTAAAAGAAATGGAGTGGACCTCATAGTCAATAAAAGAGTGCAAAAGCTGTACTGGGATGCAATCTCAAAAATGATAGAATTATCTTGATACGAATCCAAGGCAGACCTTTTAACATCACAGTAATCCAAGTCTATGCACCAACTACTGGTGCTGAAGAAACTGAAATTGACCAATTCTATGAAGACTTACAACACCTTCTAGAAATGACACCAAAGAAGGATGTTCTTCTCATTATAGGGGATTGGAATGCTAAAGTAGGGAATCAAGAGATAAAAGGAACAACTGGCAAGTTTGGCCTTGGAGTTCAAAACAAAGCAGGGCAAAGGCTATTAGAGTTCTGCCAAGAGAACAAGCTGGTCATCACAAACACTCTTTTCCAACAACACAAGAGACGACTCTACACATGGACATCACCAGATGGGCAGCATCAAAATCAGATTGATTATATTCTCTGCAGCCAAAGATGGAGAAGCTCTATACAGTCAGCAAAAACAAGACCTGGAGCTGACTGTGGCTCAGCTTCTTATAGCAAAATTCAAGCTTAAACTGAAGAAAGTAGGGAAAACCACTGGGCCGGTAAGATACAATCTAAGTCAAATCCCTTATGAATACACAGTGGAACAGGTTTAAGGATTTAGATTTGGTGGACAGAGTGCCTGAAGAACTATGGATGGAGGCTCGTAACATTATACAGGAGGCAGCAACGAAAACCATCCCAATGAAAAGGAAATGCAAGAAAGCAAAGTGGCTGTCCAACGAGGCCTTACAAATAGCGGGGGAGAGAAGGCAAGCAAAATGCGAGGGAGATAGTGAAAGATACAGGAAATTGAATGCAGATTTCCAAAAAATAGCAAGCAGAGACAAGAAGGCCTTCTTAAATGAGCAATGCAAAGAAATAGAGGAAAACAATAGAATGGGAAAAACCAGAGTTCTGTTCAAGAAAATTGGAGATATGAAAGGAACATTTCGTACAAAGATTACCATAATAAAAGACAAAAGTGGAAAGGACCTAACAGAAGCAGAAGACATCAAGAAGAGGTGGCAAGAATACACAGAGGAATTATACCAGAAAGATATGGATGTCTCGTACACCCCAGATAGTGTGGTTGCTGACCTTGAGCCAGACATCCTGGAGAGTGAAGTCAAATGGGCCTTCGAAAGCATTGCTAATAACTAGGCTAGTGGAAGTGATGGTATTCCAGCTGAACTATTTAAAATTTTAAAAGATGATGCTGTTAAGGTGCTACACTCAATATGCCAGCAAGTTTGGAAAACTCAGCAGTGGCCAGAGGATTGGAGAAGATCAGTCTACATCCCAATCCCAAAGAAGGGCAGTGCCAAAGAATGCACCAACTACCGCACAATTGCACTCATTTCACACGCTAGCAAGGTTATGCTTAAAATTCTACAAGGTAGGCTCAAGCAATATGTGGACCGAGAACTCCCAGAAGTGCAAGCTGAATTTTGAAGGGGCAGAGGAACCAGAGACCAAATTGCAAACATGCGCTGGATTATGGAGAAAGCTAGAGAGTTCCAGAAAGACATCTACTTCTGCTTCATTGACTATGCAAAAGCCTTTGACTGTGTAAACCACAGCAAACTATGGCAAGTTCTTAAAGAAATGGGAGTGGCTGATCACCTCATCTGTCTCCTTAGAAATCTCTATGTGGGACAAGAAGCTACAGTTAGAACTGGATATGGAACAACTGATTGGTTCAAAATTGGGAAAGGAGTACGACAAGGCTGTATATTGTCTCCCTGCTTATTTAACTTATATGCGGAATTCATCATGCAAAAGGCTGGGCTGAATGAATCCCAAACCGGAATTAAGATTGCCGGAAGAAATATCAACAACCTCAGATATGCAGATGACACAACCTTGATGGCAGAAAGTGAGGAGGAATTAAAGAACCTTTTAATGGGGGTGAAAGAGGAGAGCGCAAAATATGGTCTGAAGCTCAGCATCAAAAAAACGAAGATCATGGCCACTGGGCCCATCACCTCCTGGCAAATAGAAGGGGAAGAAATGGAGGCAGTGAGAGATTTTACTTTCTTGGGCTCCATGATCACTGCAGATGGTGACAGCACTCACAAAATTAAAAGACACCTGCTTCTTGGGAGAAAAGCAATGACAAACCTAGACAGCATCTTAAAAAGCAGAGACATCACCTTGCCAACAAAGGTCCGTATAGTTCAAGCTATGCTTTTCCCAGTAGTGATGTATGGAAGTGAGAGCTGGACCATAAAGAAGGCTGATCGACAAAGAATGGATGCTTTTGAATTATGGTGCGGGAGGAGACTCTTGAGAGTCCCATGGACTGCAAGAAGATCAAACCTATCCATTCTGAAGGAAATCAGCCCTGAGTGCTCACTGGAAGGACAGATCCTGAAGCCGAGGCTCTAATACCTTGGCCACCTCATGAGAAGAGAAGACTCCCTGGAAAAGACCCTGATGTTGGGAAAGATTGAGGGCACAAGGAGAAGGGGACGACAGAGGATGGTTGGACAGTGTTCTCGAAGCTACCAGCATGAGTTTGACCAAACTGCGGGAGGCAGTGGAAGACAGGAGTGCCTGGCGTGCTCTGGTCCATGGGGTCACGAAGAGTCGGACACGACTAAACGACTAAACAACAACAACAACAAACAGCCAGCTGTTGCGCATGTGGTCTTCAATCAGAAGCAGCGCATATTGTGAGGAGAATCAGAACTTACAGGGTTAAACAGTTCTGTGTGACGTCTCACATTCTGAGGCGTGGTTTGGTTCACATATGGGAATCTTTCTTTGTGTGTGAGTTTCCTTTCGTTTTTGGCTGAGACACGAAAGAATGTCCGCTCTCTAGCCAGGACTGATTTATGATGTTTTTCTTCTCATTAAAGGCTGTTAGAGATTAGCAAGAAGCCTGCGTTCAGTCTGATTTATTATCCACACACAAGGCAACATTTTCTATCGCTGCAGAACTCTGCTAAGAACTCTGCTAAGAGTTCAAGTTTTTCCTATCGGCACAAGCGTCCCTCGGCACAGGGGAAGTGTGCCGGGTGCCATCTTATCTCAGCAGGTTATGGGAGCTAGCCAAGCTTTGGAAGCTGTTGCCACGTCGTGCCTGTGTGTGTGGGAGAAGCCAGCTGGGGCCCCTGCCTAACGTTTGAGGCAGTGAAGCTTGCTGGGGAGGATCTCATCTTCAGGACCGGGTGCCAAGAGGAGCTGCTGGTTACGTGAGTAGGCTCAGCCCCGGGGGAGAAGATGGCAGATGGACAGGAGTCATTCTCAGTCCCCTTTGAAAAATTAAATGGGAGCAACTGGGAGGAGTGGTCAAGGAAGCTGAAGGCCTGGCTGGTAGCCAAGGGTCTGTGGGAGGCGACCCAAGGGCCCCCACAGCAAGCTGCAGCCGGAGCTGCAGCAGCGGTTGTTGCAGCTGCCCAAGCCTCACAGAGGAAAGACCAGAAAGCCCTAGGAGCTATAGTGCTCAGTTTGGAGGGCTCACAGCTACCTTTGGTGGAGGGTCTTGAGACTGCCCAGGAGGTCTACCAGGCACTAGAGAGAGTGCACCACAGGACCATAGCTGGGGCAAAGATCCACACCACCAGAAGCTTGTTTGAGCTGAAGCTGCGTCCTGGTGATAGCATCAGACAGCATGTGACTAAGATGCTCTCTGTTTTCAACAAGCTGAGACTGTTGCAAGTCAGCTTTACTGAGGAACTGGAAGTTTATATTTTGCTCAGCTCTTTGGACAAAAGTTATGACAATTTGTGTCTAACTTTGGAATCGATGAATCCAGCGGATCTTACGCTGCAGTATGTGACTGGGCGTTTGTGTGACGAGGAGGAACGCCGTCTCAGAGAGGGCCGAGCTGGCGCAGGGTGCCCTGCCGGTAACAGAGGGGGGGCCAAGCCAGAAGGCACAGTTCAGGCTTTTTCCACTCGTCGTTGTTTTGTCTGCGGGTCTGTTGACCATCTGCGTCGGTCCTGTCCGAGGAGAGCTAGAGAGGCCGGGCAGGATGTCTCCAAGGTCGCTTCCCATGGCAGTCAGCCAAGTCCTCGTGGCAGCCAGCCAGGTTTCCATGGCAGCCAGTCTAGGAGAGGAGGCCAGCGTGGGAATGCAAAGGGAGGACGTGACAGAGGAAGTGAGAAGGACGGTTCTTCTTATCACCTAGCTGCCTCCATGGCAACGCTGAAGGACAACTCCGGTGAGGGCAGCATGCTGCGTTGGGTCATCGACTCAGGAGCCAGCCATCACCTGATGCCATCGCCATCTAGTGGCGAAATGTGGAACTGCAGGGCTGTTTCAACTGGGAAAACAGTCATTCTTGCTGATGGCTCACAGAGACAATTAACCACTGTTGGCAATGTGTTTGTTTCTTTTTTACAGGCAGAGCTGGAAGTCTACGTTGTGCCAGGAATGAAGTGTTGTCTTTTATCTGTATCTGCTCTTGTAAAGGAGGGTTATAAGGTTTGCTTTGAAAATGATGTCTGTTCTATTTCCAGGGGTGGGAAACAACTGGTCAATGTTGCATGTCAGAACAACCTCTTTGTTCTGGAGACACCTCTGGAGGGTAAGGGGAACGCTGAGACAGCACAGGCGCGGTGTGCTAACGTTCCCACACATGATTCGTGTGCTCACTTGTGGCACAGGAGAATGTCGCATAGCTGTTGGAAATATATCCAGAAGTTACCAGAATGCACTGAGGGTTGCAAGATGAAAGCATGTGATAGATTCTTGGATTGTAGGGCATGCAAAAGAGCAAAGATAAAAAGGTGCAGTTATCCCAGATCGGAGAGGGTAACCACAAGGCCTTTTGAGCTTGTGCATACAGACCTTTGTGGACCCATGCCAGTGCCGAGTCTGGGCGGAGCCAGGTATGCGCTCACGCTGACAGATGATTTTTCGAGGAACGGCTGGATCTTCTTGCTGAAACAGAAAAGCGAGGTGGCGCAACTGATCAAAGACTGGGTTGCTGCTGTGGAACTACTGTTCTCCACCAAGGTGCAGAGCTTTCAGAGCGACCGAGGCGGAGAGTTCACCAGGTCTGCTCTGCAGAGTTTCTTCCGCCAGAAGGGGATAAGTCACAGGTTGACGGTTGCTTTTTCTCCTCAGGAGAATGGCGTAGCGGAGCGCAGGAACAAAACGCTAGCTGAGGCAGCTGACACTCTACTGTTTGACTCTGGTTTGCCTCAGAGCTTTTGGGCCGAAGCTTGGAAAGCTGCCAGCTTCACTTTGAACAGGTCCTATAGCTCTGTTGTAGGAGACACACCCTATTTTCTGCTGCACCGGAAGAAGCCCAAGGTGCATTTCTTCCGTGTGTTTGGTTGTGAAGCTTGGGTGCTTGTGCCAAAGGCTCAACGCAAGAAAGGTGACCCGAGGTCCCGGAAAATGATCTTTTGTGGGTACGAGCCTGGGACAAAAGGGTGGAGGTTTGCCTATCCAGAAGGCGATCAGTCCAGGCTTCTAGTCAGCAGGAGTGCTGAGTTCTGTGAGCAGAGTGGTTGGTCAAGGATTGCTGCTGCCGCTTCGCCGTGAGTTTGTGGGGAGGGCTCTTCCCCCTGCAAGCCCATTCTCCACCTTGGGCCTGGGGGCGGGCCCCATACTCCACCTCAGCATATAAGGCTCCAAGGAGGCCTCGGGACATTGCTGCTGCCGCTCTGCCGTGAGTTTGTGGGGAGGGATCTTCCCCCTGCAAGCCCATTCTCCACCTTGGGCCTGGGGGCGGGCCCCATACTCCACCTCAGCATATAAGGCTCCAAGGAGGCCTCGGGACATTGCTGCTGCCGCTTCGCCGTGAGTTTGTGGGGAGGGCTCTTCCCCCTGCAAGCGCACTTCACCAGGCCAGGGGGCGGGGCCCACACTCACCACCGACACAACTTTAAGGACACTGGTGCTGCAGCAGCAAATGTTTAAAATGTTTTTATATATTTTAAAGTGTTCTAAAAGTGTTTTTACTTTTTACTTTGTTGTACCACCATAAACAGTGGTTTTTATCCATGTATTTTTATTTTGTTTTGTTTTATTTTGGGTTGGGGTGGGATGGTTGTTGAGTGGGGTGGGGATTGGTTTTGTTTTGGTGTAATTGTTTTTTGTTTGTTTGTTTGCTTTTATATTTTGTAAATGGAGGCGAGTATGAGGCTTGGGATTCCTACTGTGGAGGGGCGAGGGAGGTATGGCGGTGGGGGCAGATGTCATAGGCGAAGGGGATCGAGATACGGATATGCTCGTACCCCTTCCAATCTGCGCCCCATCCCGAGAGACGAGGGTAGGGTGAGCAAGGATTACTCACCTCCGTCACTGGTGTTGTGCAATGCCAGGTCTATAGGCAACAAAACCGCCACCCTGAGAGATTTCTTCATCTCGCAGGGGGTCGACCTGGCTTGTGTGACGGAGACCTGGGTGCGCGAAGGGGATACTGTTACCTTACGAGAGATGGCGCACCCGGGTTTCTCCGTCCTCCACCAGTCGCGGACTGTGGGCCGGGGGGGGGGGAGGGGTGGCATTATTAATCCGGGAAGATTGTTCTTTCAGGGGTCTACCATCGCCATCAATCCCCGGCATTGAATGTGTTGGCCTAGTGTGGGGCTCCGAGGTGAGCTTGGCTGTCTGGCTGGTGTACCGGCCACCTAGCGCACCAGCAGCCACCCTGTCAGGCCTGCTGGAGGCGGTGGCCGGCTGGGCCTTGGAGTTCCCTAACCTATTGGTATTGGGGGACTTCAACATCCATGCTGATGCCACTCCCTCCTCACAGGCTCTGGACCTGGTGTCTTCCATGGCGACACTAGGGCTCTCCCAGTTTGTTTCGGGCCCCACACATCAAGCAGGCCACACGCTGGATTTGATCTTTGGCGTCGCTATAGATGTGATCATGTTTCCTTCGATGAAGGTGCCATGGTCTGATCACTACGCTCTGAAAGCCAGGATTGATGTTCCACCCCCACCCTGCTTAGGTGGCGAGCCGATTTGGGCTCGCCCGCAGAGGCTGATGGACCCTGATAGATTCTGTCAATCCTTGCGGGACCTTTCTCCCCCCTGGCGACTCATTGACTGAGCTTGTTGAGGGCTGGAATACCCAGCTCCTGGCAGCCATCAATGAGATCGCACCTAAGCGCCCTCTGCGACCCCGCAGAAACCGGGCTCCCTGGTTTACCGAGGAGCTCCGGAAAATGAAGCGGGACCTCAGACGGCTAGAGCAAGTATGGCGGGGTGCCCGTGACGGAGCCTCAAGAACATCTTATAGGGCTTTTATGAAAACCTACGAGATGGCAGTGAAGGCCCTTAAGAAGTCCTACTTCTCGGCCTCCATTGCATCCGCTAGCTCTCGCCTGGAGCAATTATTTAGTATAATTCAGTCTTTAACGTCCCTCGAAGGACAGCCAAATTTAAATAACAATTTGACACACAGCTGTGAGGCATTTGCGAGCTTTTTTGCGGAGAAGGTCCTGTTGCTCCGCCATGACTTCCCTGCCAATTTGGATACAATAAAGGAACTGGAGGCCCCTCGACTGTCTTCGGGTCCAGTATTGGACCACTTTGACCGGATATCCCCAGCCGATGTGGACAGACTCCTCCGAGCTGGAAAGCCCACCACTTGTCCTCTCGACCCGTGCCCGTCTTGGCTGATTAGAGCGTGTCCAGACGAGGTGCGGGCCCCCCTGGGGATATCATCAATTTGTCCCTTGGCACCGGGACATTCCCAGGGGAACTGAAGGAGGCAGTGGTGCGCCCGCTTTTAAAGAAAACATCATTAGATCCCTTAGATCTATCCAATTACCGCCCGGTTTCGAACCTTCCATTCCTGGGTAAGGTGATTGAGAGAGCGCTTGCTGAACAGCTTGGTAGGTTTCTGGATGAAACATCGGCTCTGGATCCATTCCAGTCCGGCTTCTGCGCTGGTCATGGGACCGAGACGGCTCTGGTCGCCCTAACAGATGATCTCCGCAGGCAGCTGGATCGAAGCGGGTCAGGGCTGCTGATTCTTCTAGACCTGTCAGCAGCCTTCGACATGGTCGATCACAAACTCCTGGACCAGCGCCTTGCCGACGTGGGGATCCAGGGCACAGTCCTTCAATGGCTGCGCTCGTTTCTCTCTGGTCGGGGACAGAGGGTGGCGCTTGGGGGGGGGGAATTGTCATCCCGCCACTCCTTGGTGTGTGGAGTGCCCCAGGGTGCGATACTCTCCCTGATGCTTTTTAACATCTTTATGCGCCCCCTCGCCCAGCTTGTCTGGAGTTTTGGGCTGGGCTGCCATCAGTATGCTGATGACACCCAACTCTATCTGTTGATGGATGGCCATCCTGACTCGGCCCCAGACACACTGACCAGATGCTTGGAAGCTGTGGCTGGATGGTTAGGTGGGAGCCGGTTGAAGCTAAATCCTTCGAAGACAGAGGTCCTCTTGCTGGGACGGGATGATATGGGATTGAGGGGGCAACTCCCATCTCTTGTGGGGGTGCAATTAGTGCCAGCACCGTCCGTTAAGAGTTTGGGTGTAATCTTCGATACCTCCCTCTCCATGGAGGCGCAGATTGCAGCTATAACAAAGGCGGCATTTTTCCATCTCCGCCAAGCTAAGCAGTTGGCTCCTTACCTCTCTCGCCCTGACCTAGCCACTGTGATCCACGCGACGGTCACCTCCAGACTGGATTATTGTAACTCGCTCCACGTGGGGCTGCCCTTGAGACTGACCCAGAAACTCCAGCGGGTGCAGAATGCCGCAGCGAGACTCCTTACGGGGTCTTCGCTGCGAGATCACATTCATCCGGTGCTATACAAACTGCACTGGCTCCCGGTGGAGTGAGTACAGGATCAGGTTTAAGGTGCTGGTTTTAACCTTCAAAGCCCTATACGGCCTAGGACCCCTGTACCTATGGGACCGCCTCTCCTGGTATGCCCCACAGAGGAACTTACGGTCTTCAAATAAAAACATCTTGAAGGTCCCAGGCCACAGAGAGGTTAGGCTGGCCTCAACTAGAGCCAGGGCTTTTTCGGCTGTGGCTCCAACCTGGTGGAACATTCTGTCACAAGAGACAAGGGCCCTGCAGGACTTGACATCTTTCCGCAGGGCCTGCAAGACAGAGCTGTTCCACCAGGCCTTTGGTCAGGGTGCAGCCTGACTCCCTCCTTTGGCAATCTTTACAAAACTTTAGTTTATGGTTGCCATCAATTTTGATTTTAATTAATTTTTATAATGTTTTTATAATGTTTCACTATTTTAGTGTTGTTAGCCGTCCTGAGCCCGGTTTCGGCTGGGGAGGGCGGGATATAAATAAATTTTATTATTATTATTATTAAGGATCCATGCGAATCCTGACGTTCTCTCAGAGAGTCTGTCTGATTCTACTGAGGAGGGAGAGTTAGAAGTTGAACCTGTTGATGAGGACCAGGTCTCTGACCAGGGTCAAGAACAGGGAGGGGCATCTCCACAGGTTGTTAAAAGAGAGCCCAAAAGTGAGCCTTTGTCTCCCGTTAGTCAAGTGCAGAAGGCCAGAAGACGCAGCAAGTCAGAGGGGGAGTCTTCTGATAACAAGGACACACTAGTTGGCCCCAATGGGTCAGAGGGAGCACCTGAGACAGTGCTCAGACGTTCCACACGCGCTACAAAGGGGGTACCACCTGAGCGGTTTGAGGTCACCAGCGTGTGGGTTGGTTTAGTGCAGTGCGAACCAGAAAGTTTTGAGGAAGTTCAACAGTTGCCTGAAGAAGAAGCCAGGAAGTGGCAAGAGGCAATGGGAAAGGAGTTGAACTCAATGAGGTCCTTAGGTGTGTTCTCCACCACAAAGCTGCCAGAGGGCAAGCAGGCTGTGAGCTGTCATTGGGTTTGCAGGATTAAGCCCACAGCGTCTGGAGAACCACAGTACAAGGCGAGGCTTGTA